CCGCTGTTTCGAAAAAAAAATCATTCAATGGTAGGGGAGAGTGGGGTAAGACGCCCAGGGTGGGAAAGACGCCCCAGCCCGTCTAGCGGCGAAACAAAGAATCGAACCCGGAAAATAATGTTCTTAGCGTAAAGCGGAAGCCTGCCTTGTTAACTGCACAAAAATTTGCGAAGCTCAGTTGGGCAACGGCTGGCTGGTGAATGCATGTTTTGTATTTGCTACTTTCAAAAAATATTTTGGTGTCAAAAAATTGTAAATATCCAAGAAGGTAGATAATTTTTGCGTCCCTTGCTAAGTTGCTATAGTCGTGATACATTAACATGCGTGTACTGTGTCCCAAACTGTTTGTTTCAGGGTGTAGTTTTATGGCTAACAAATTGTACTGATTTAATGTTACTTCGGTACCATGGGGTAAGATGCCCCCTGTCCTGATGGGGAAAGACGCCCCCCTAAATCCGTAGGCTGTCCTTCAAGCAGCCCGTCAAATCATTTATTACATGCTTGTTAGAGCACTTCACGGATAGGCTTTTCAGGATCCGGCCCGGCCCATATCCGGCAAGTCATATCCAGATCCGCCCATTATCCGTGTTTCTTTGAATTTCAAAATCCGGCCCGCCCATGGCCCGTATCTCAGCCATACATCCAAAAAATATCCATAATAATCCGTTTCATTACAAACCGGTTGTGAGACTTCAGCATATCGCCATAAGATCCAAACGTTGGACACTAGGAAGCTATCAAATTGTAATAACAGCAATCTTAGCCACTGCAAAATACATTTTGTGGTAAAAGCTGCATTGCTAAGGATAGGGGTAACACATTGACATGGACCTCAGCATTTCACAAGGTTGGCTATCATTAGAATTGTTAAGAATCTACTGTGGTCTATAAAAGGAAGAGTACTTACTCATATAGCAAAACCACAATCAATTAGTAAGTCAAATGGTAGGTAATAATAAGTATAATACAATGAATAAATAAAGTTTCATGACATTGGCAACATTCTATATGGGAAAAGGCAGAATCAAAACACCTCAAAACACATTGTTTGGAAACTAGCCTTGGAATGTGGTCTGACACACTCTACAAAGAATTTGACACTGAAAACCCAGCTGAAAAGGTAGGTATTAAATAGCCTTGAGCCTGACTTTGGTCCTAAAATGAAAGGAAGATAAGTTAAACCGGCATTTTGTCGTATCAACAAGACGTTGTTGTTGTTCTGGGTTAGTATCAACAAGACGACACAACACAATACACAGACAAAATTGACGATAGTGGCGCAAAAAAGCAAGCAAGGATTGATTTTTTTTAAGATCCGCTCTCTCTTTATGAAATAGGCGAGCTGATGACGTAATATTGATTCGTTTACCCTTTAAGTTGAATTTCTGATCAGAAAATATTTTTTGGCGTCATTTACACTGAAAATGTTGATAACATCAGAATTTAATATCGTCTTGGATCGTTTTTATTTCTAAAAAAAATCATCCACGAGGCATTGCGCCAAGTTTAAAACTTTTTTTGCAGCGTTTTATTCAGCTGTGTAAAAGCATCCGTTATTGCGCATGTGTTTCTAACCTTGCGCAGTGTTTGTTGCTGTCTGGAAGATTGAAAAATTCGAGAACGCATTATCGTTTTTATACATATTATATGGGGACTGTTCTCAGGACAAGTGAGTTATCAACACATTTTTTTACATGATTCGTATCTTATTCAGGAACCAGCGAGCCATGGTGGATATGGGCCTGTTCCAGCGCCTCCAGAAGAAATTCTTGACTGGAGGCTCTACCAGAGGTTTTACTGGAGGCGCTGGAACGCAATCTGGAGATTTCTGGAGATTGGCGTCATAGATACCAAAAGAATGACGATTGTTCTCTCTTGAAACGCAAAATTTGTTTTCAATTTTAGTTAAAAAGATAAATAAAATTATAGCAATGTAATTTTCTTTTCATTCAAGTTGTAAAATAATCAGTCAAATGTCCTTTGTTTACATTCGTGATTGTCACATGTGCACCATAATTGTAGACCAGAGCCTCCAGAGAAATTTGGACCTTTCAACTCTCTGGAGGCTACTGGAGGTTTCTGGAGCTTTGGCGAGAGCTTTCTGGAGCTTTCTGGAGGCGCTGGAACGCTCTCTGGAGGATTCTAGAGCTTTCTGGAGCTTTCTGGAGGTTTCTGGAGGCGCTGGAACAGGCCCTATGATGCCATGGCGGTTGTTCTTGCTTCCTCGGTTAGGAACATGGCTGAGTCTGCAGATTTTATGTTGTGACCATCTATATTTAAAAATTTGGTTGGTGCTGCCATATACCTTACAGACTAGGTATCATGGCTCACAAAGGTATGCTTATAAATCTCATGTAAATCAATTAATACTTCTGCTGCAGTGCCTAACAAGTTAAGTTACCTAATTCTTAACATGAATATTGAATGCTACAATTTTATCCGTTCTGATCCGTGTTCAACATTCAATTCCCAAATCCGGCCCGCCCAGATCCGTTCTATTTTTCCAAATTTGGGATCCAATCCTATCCGGTCCACGGATTTATCCGTGGATAACGGATTTATCCGGCCCATGAAGTGCTCTAATGCTTGTGATGAGAGACAAAAGCCGATCTGGGACTATTGAGAGTCCAGTACGGTCGGGTGCTCCCCATGCCGGTCTCTCGGCCCACACAGCGACTTTTTGGGCGGCATCTGACTCTGAGAGCCCTCACGACGGCCTCTGTGGGCCCCATTATTGGCTCCAGGGACCCTCACGACATCCTTTGAGGGCTCCCACGTTGGCTCCACGGGCCGCGCTGGCATTTGAGGTCCCCACAATGGGCTCGAGGGCCCTCAAGCATCATGAAGACCTATAAGGGCCCCACAGTGGTCTCCGAACGCCACCACGGAGGCTTGTTTGGCCGCGCCTGACTATGATGGCCCTAACGATGACCTCTGAAGCCCCTCACGACCACTTTTGAGGGACCTTACGATGACGTTTGGTGTCTACTGCAAGCTCGAAGGGACTACTGATTCGTTTAGGCGATTCACGTGCCCATTTATGTCACTTATAGTGCAGGGGCATCTTCCCCAACGCCAGGGGGCGTCTTTCCCACCCTGTGGGGTAAGATGCCCCCTTTCACTTCTTCAGGAAAATGCTTAATAGCAAAAAAAGTGATCATAGTTCAGGCACGAAAGTGTGATATTTTTGGAGAAAAATTATGTCGGCTTCCGTTGAAACTCCAAGTTTTTGCTTTCCGATCGTCATTTTCGAATAATATACGACATACTAAAACCCTGGGCATCTTTCCCCACTCTCCCCTATCTGGTGACCTCTGACCTTTTACTTGACCTAAAAAAAAAAATGAATGACATATTTTCGTCCTTATTTTGGACGTTCTTTCGAATGCCGTTTACTGCTTGTCACTACTTGACCTAGGATCAGACTTAAGAGCGAGTTGTTGACCCCCCCCCCCAGCAAGCTGTGGAAATCAAGGACCCTCAGCGGGGCGCGGATTAGACATCTTGAGTTGACAACCAAATAATCCCGTTTTCTTTCGGACGACAACCACCGAAGCACTTTTTTCAGCCCTGGGTACCAGGCGGCTGCTGCCAATGCTGAGCCATAGGAACCCGGTGGATAAAGAGTTGTAGAACATCAATCTGCCCCCGAGTGTACACGTTCATCCAATTTTCCTGCTGAAAATTCATAATAGAAACTTTGCGACCAGATATGGCGTAAAACTAGATGTCTGCATAACTTCGTTACACCCTGTGGGGTGGCAACTTCAGCTCCGTTTAGCGATTCTTTCAAGAGAGACTTACTATACACGTTCTCCGAAATTCGATTACTTTGAATAAACTATGAACTTTAATTGACCGAATAGGCAATAAATGTGAACCAAATGTGAGCCAAACATTTACCAGATAAGCGTCGTGAAACGACCTGCCATCTGTCGTCAAGACAGATTGCTTGATGTTTGCCGATGATTTGAAGATTTTTCAGAAAGTTAGAAATCACGATGATGTACAAAGGCTCCAGAACGATATTGATGCTGTAACGGAATGGGCGGCGGTCTGGGGGCTCAAGCTGAATCCCTCGAAGTGTAAAACTTTTAAAATCACGCTCAAAAGAGACATATATCCATCTGTGTATCAAATCAGTGGTAGCACTCTGCAGGAAGTGACTTCGATTCGTGATTTGGGTGTGGTACTTGACCAAAAACTTACTTTTGCAGACCATACAAATGTGATTGTTTCAAAGGCCAATCGGGCACTAGGGCTACTCATGCGGAGCCTCCAGGCGACCTCTCCGCGGTGCAAACTGGACAGGAGAGCAGTGTTCGCGGCATTCAATGCAAATGTTAGGGCCATCCTAGAGTACTGTTCTGTAGTTTGGGCCGGTGCTTCCAAGTGTCATCTCGTGCGTTTGGAACGTGTCCAACACAAGTTTTTGATTTGGCTGGCAAACATGACGAACGTTCACCATGACTCGATTGAATATCATTACCTGCTGAAGCTGTTCGACGTGAGATCGCTACATGCCAGGCGCATTGAGAGTGACATTATATTTTTGTGCAAGGTATTCAAAGGTTCGGTGTCATCCTCTCATCTTCTACGGTCGTTCTCGTTACACGCTCCGCTCAGAGCGACACGCAGCGCTGTGTCGACATTGTTCCATGTGCCGCGTGGGCGAGTGAACTGCATTGCAAACGGCCTGTTTACGCGCTGTCCTCGTGCCACCAACAAATTTCTGGAAGCCCAGCCTCAAACTGATGTGTTATGTGATCCTGTTGGAAGCATCAAGAGGCGCCTCGTCCTCTATACCGGATCCGTGAGACTCTAGGGCAATGTACATGAGAATACTGTTTTTATTATGATAGTTTATTGTGCATGTTTTTTTTTTTCGTATTTTATCTTTTGACTTCACCTATCATAGGGATCATGCCTGTTGGTGATATTATGCAATACAAGAATACAAGAATACAAGGTGATAGCGGTCGGCTGGCCTGCGTTCTCACCTCCACTCCAGCCGGCGTGATGAAGCGTCCGGCGGTGCGCGCCTCTTCGTCTTCAGTCGAGTCGGAAGAGTCGAGCGACGCCTGAGCGATACGGCGGCCAGCCTGCAGCGCCGTGCACAAGCGCAGGCGACACGGCCAGCGGTGGCCGCAGCCAAAGACGAGAGAGAGAGAGAGAGAGAGAGAGAGAGAGAGAGAGAGAGAGAGAGAGAGAGAGAGAGAGAGAGAGAGAGAGAGAGAGAGAGAGAGAGACGCGGGGCGGGGGACTGCATCGATCAGCGCGCACACGAGCAGTGGCGAGGCGGTCACAGTGACATGCAGCACGCAGCCCAACCATAGCAGGATGACAAGTGTCCCCACTTCCCAGTGGTACGGCAAGCGGCAAAGCTACTGAACTGAAACAAGGTGCGATCACAGCCACACCCAGCTTAATCATTACAAGCATAATTGTGAAAAATAATGATGCAAAACACGGAAAACAGAACCTGGCGGCAACGCTTCCACCCACCTGGACTACCTCCGGCTCCGGCTCTGGACGCTCCGGCTCTGACCCCAGACGCTCCGGCTCCTGCTCCGGCCGCTCCGGCTCGGGCCCCAGACGTTCTGACTCCGGCTCCGGCTCCGACCCCAGACGCTCTGGCTCCGGCTCCGGCTGGGGCCCCTCGGTGGGCGGTGGCTGCGGCTGGATGTCGGCGGAGCTCTCCGGCAGCTGCGGGCCGCCAACCGTGCAGCCAGGTCATGCAGCACTGAGCACGGCTCGTCATGCCAGTCATGTGCAGTCATGCGATCCACAAGAGAAATGTAATGTACAGCCCACCGCTAAAGTAATGTAGGGTTTTACTAATCTCAACGGTTGGCTTTGACTGGCGATTGTTTAATGCGGAGTGATCGAAAAGAAGATGTCAATAGCTAAAGTTGCAGCTGCAGGGGTGACGATACATATAAGCTACATTCAGAGTTTCATTAGCCGTTTTCACGACGGAACTTTCGCAGAGGAACCTATTTGATACCTGAAAAGTACCTACCCTTTGAGGCCTTAACATCCCTCCAACTGAAATATTTTATGTTCAAAATAATTTTAGAAATTTAAATCCGGGCATTATGTGCCCTCAAATCACTTATTTATTTACAAACACAGCAATTTTCGGTTCTAGTAGCCCACCTTTCGACTATGAGGCATCAAATCAGCGTGGCAACTTGCTCCCTCTTTGCTCCCTCGGGTATCTAATTCCGGAATTCTTACAAACAAGGAAAGCATATATCGAGTTCTCTTTTATACCTATTCAGTTATGTTTTAATGGTGATTAAAATATGGCAAATTTTTTAATTACATTTCATATAAGAAAACACGCAAAACAATAAAACAAAAATAACTACGGCGGATAATTACCTTCAGGTATCTAATTCCGACCAATCAGCACCTCAGTAGGATATAACGTCATACAAGAATGGTGTTGTAGGCCGTTTGCAGTCCCGGCCGGTAGGTCACGTGACCGCCGGGGCCTCGGGTCACGCGGCGGTCGGGAGTCGGACGCGGGACGTGGTCGCGGGCGGACGCGCGGGGCATCATGCTTTGATTTGTTTGCTTTGTCAACTTAATGTAACTTACGATCGCATACGTGTGAAACCCAAACACTGCTCAGTGCCCTTAGAAATTGAGTTTTGGAAAGCTCAAGTCCCTATAGCTCCTAAGGTCGGCAACAGTTGAAGCCTCATCTGAACCCATCTGAAAAAGCGAGGGTAAGGAACCTTGTGTTGCTTTTTCTTTTACCGTCATAATTATCTCAAACCATCACAGTTTTGAGTTGCCACATTGTCTGGTTCACTACATTCGTGTAAGTAAAACTTGGGTGAAGGCTGGTGGCTCAAAGAAAGGTGAAGATATTTCTTTAAGTGCCTAATCCGTGAAATATCCCGGCTTTACAAATCTACACTTTTTATTTTCTCCACGATACATTTGTTAAAATTGTTAAAATTTAATCTACATTTGTTAAAATCGGGGCTTTGGTTTTGTGTCAACTAGATCATAAAGTTTACTATAGTTTTGCCTAAAACCTGGTGGCCTGAAGAAAATAGTGATTTTGCTAAAATGATTTTCGGAAATTTGTTGCTTTCAAAATCAAATAACTTATACCTATATTTCATTCAAAATTAGGAGGCATTATTACTGTTTTTGTAACATGAACTGAGTTTGGGTACAGTGCTCCGGAAACGTTGTGGAACTTTAAGCTAGCTAGAGCAGTTTCCAAAAAAAAAAATGTTTAGATAGTTGACATGGCTTGTTGACAACTGCTTTGATGTTTCTAAAAAAGTGAAAAATATTTTCCTGCATTAAGCAGACAAGGCATGTTATTCTCACAAGCTATCGAATGTGTGTGCGTGTGTGTGTGTTTTTTTAAGCTGTCAATTGTAACTTTAGTTACTTCACTTTAGAACATATTGCCCAGAATGCGTCACTGATCATATCATAGCATATGTAGCAAATACATAAATGAGAATAGTGTGTCATGAATTTTTGTGCATGCTTCTGGATCATTTGTAATTACATCAAAGGCTCGGCTCAAGAGTGTCCTGCCGACCAGCTTATGCCCAACCCTTTCTGTCCGCAGAACGTCTTCCGTCGCCTGCGACTCCCGCACGCCGTTTGCGCCCCGTCCGTCCGTACCGGTCTTCGCGCTGCGAGCCGCGCTGCTGGAGTTCGCGGCAGCGTCGTGGAGCTCCCATCGGGACGGCGTGTGATGCCCGCGTCGAGCTTATAAGCCGTGAGCTTCGATTGGCGGCTCACGCGGTCACCAGCTGTATGTACAGCCTCGGCCCCGACGACCTCGCTAATGGCCGAGACCGGCATACCCCCGGCATGGGTCCGCCGTCCGGCGCAGCGCTGGCCGCCCGCATGTTACGTTTGGCTGTATCGCTGCCCAGCGGGAGCGCGCTCCACGCTGCAGTAGAGGTACACGTTGCGACCCGACTGAGGACCGCAACCGGATGGTGACACGTCGGCCTCTGCGCCCTGGCCGGGGCAGGCGTGACCGACGTCACAGGGGAGGAACGCCCAAACAAGATCAGCCCACCGTCGGAGCAGCATGGAAACATCATGTTCTGCCTGGACGTCGGACCCGGCGGCCGCAGAGCACCTGCACACGTGCGGAGAGGGGCGCTGGAGGCTACTCTGGAGCTTCTGCCATCCCGCGGCGCGGCTGCTGGCAACACCTGACAACGGCGGCGATGGAGGCGGTTGGGAACAGCTGCAGCAATGGTGATGGCGGTGATGGCGACATGGCGGTTTGGGACTTCATCTCAGCGCGGCCGCCGCCCAGGCGCCGCTGCGCCCGGCTGCTCAGACACCTACCGGATGGCGGGGTGGCCCTTACGGCTCTCACGCCCGTTCGGTCTGTGGCCACGTTCTGGGGTGGCGGTCGCAGGGTTAGCGGCGTTGGACTTCGTCCTTAATCCACACTGCACCGTTCTGGACGGATGGATCTGCCAAGAAAGATGACATCCAAGGCGGCTATGAGGCGCTCACAAACCTTTACCAAGAGCTTCTCCTTCATGGGGCCGGCCGGCCGTTAAGTCGCAACACCGGCTGCCGAGTGCCAACAGCTGCGTGCGCTGGCGCCGACGCGTTGTGGGCCGCGCTGCTGGCGCCCAAGCTGCGATATCAACCATCTATGAATGAGTGGCAGCGATGGCGGCTTGTCAGTTGTTAACGTGTCTTTGCAGACGTTGTGAATAGCCCGCGTTGGAATCGCATGGTTTGCAACACCACGCAAGTTAAAATGGGCTTCCTTGATGAACCTACTTTTTAAGCATTTTAGCCTTTGTAATTTTAGATGTTTTGCCGTAGGTATTATTTTCTACATATATACTATATAGGCACTCACGTGCTTTAAATCGCGCAATGCAATTGAACCATGGTAAAGACAATGAAAAATGAACTGAGAGCTGATATGTCCGATGCTTTGTGTGTGTGTGTGTTTTTTTTTTTTGGCGAGTCGATAAAAGTGGTTTTGGACACTGGATGAGTTTTTAGGGGTGTGGTGAGGGGGTATGTAATTTCACAGACCTTTTGTCAGATTCACTAATGCAGTAGGTCTGTGCGGTATTTAGTTATCGGAGCATTCTTTGAATGCCGTGAATAGGGCCACTGAGTACCTATAGCCGTGATATTCCCCCACAAAAACTTCTTTTAAATAACCGGGGATAGGTAGGTACATGAGCCGAGTAAATGCTATTACGAACGCCTATCACAATACTGAGCGAATAGGAAAATCCATAGATGGAGAATTGTGCCGCGTTACGGGTGCTCGGGCGCAGCCAATCCACCGTTACCCCAGCGGTGACCTTGACCCGCATCGTCTGTCTCGGCTCCAAAGCCAAACCGGCGTGGAATTGGGAGCGCTCGAGCACTCATGGTCCAGCGCAATTCTCCACATAAATCCATTCCTGATACAAATTTGCTTGCTCATAGTCATGTAACCCCGGTAAATTCACCCAACTTTCATATTGGTCGCTCCATAGACAGATGGCCACAGAGATCAACTTAAAAGGCCATGTTGCATTCATTTAGTGGAGATCATTAAATAGCCGTGATAGGCCACAAGTCGCGTGACATCATACGTGTAACAACCAATGACGTCGGCCTGCAAAACCCAATGGAAGCGGCTAGCAGCGTGCAATAAAACAGGGCGCTGCTTTCTAAATGCCTGTCGTGCGCCATAAATGAATATATTCTTTGTAGCGTGGCAACTCAGTATCTTTTTTCAACTATTGTACTAGTATTTAATAATTTCATAATTTTATAATTGTGCTTACGCTTTATGTTGATATTAGTGATAAATCCTTAGATAAAGTAAATCGATGTGATATTTAATAGAAAAATAGCAAACTAACGCATCATTTATTCGAAAGCTGGGAAAGCTACTAAAAAGAACTACTAAAATTCCTGAGGAACCAAAGGATCAAACTGGTACCAAATAGATGCCTGCTATTCCGTCGTGAAAACGGCCATTGTAGTCTGGCTAATCGTTCCTAAGCTTCAGAAGCAGAACATACCCATGACTGAAACCACACATTACTTTTGCTGTGGAGTGTGGACAGTACTATTGAGCGCAGAATCCGCGCTCATACCGGGACCGAAGCGGGGCAGGCCTGGTGTATCAGATAGTGTACCGATTAGTGTGATGCGGAACAGTATCCCATCTAGTCGGCAACTGTCTGGTGAACTTCGGCCAGCCACCGCACGGAGGGCATAACCAGCCCGATAATTGCTCAAAGGCCGCGGGTGCACACAGGGAGTTTCGAGGGCCACTGGATGACATAATCCATGCGACTGTTTCCGTACCGACTGGGGAGGGAGGCCGGGGAAGGTGAGCGATTCATGCGGTAGCAGCCCGCGTGGAGTTGGTGCGGCAGTGTGTATATTGGGATTATTTCTCGGGATTCAAAGCGTAGTTTTGGGTTTGTTCGAAGCTCTTTGATCACAGTGGCTCTGTGCGAGGAGCGGGCCCGGGCGGTCCTAGCAGATAGCCGTTCCCCTACACAGGCAGGCCGCAGACATGGTGCAACAGTGTATTACTGTAATATGGCCGACCAGCCGAGGAAAGACCCTTCTGTTGGAATGCGATTAAAGAGGCTTCTGCGTTTTAAGGTGTGCCGATACGTAGTTTGGGATCGTCCTTAAAGTACTCGCCCTCCTTGCTCTCACCCCCT